ACCGCCACTACTGCCGCCGCCACCACCACTATATCACCGCCACCACCGCCACCACACCACCACCACTACCACCACCAACACCATACCACCGCAACCACTACCACCACCAACACCATACCACCACCACCACCACCGCTGCCACTACCACCACCACCGTACCATCGTTACCGCCACCACCACCACCATAGCACCGCCACCACACCACCATCACTACCACCACCGTCGTCACCACTACCACCACCATACCAACGCAACCACCGTCGCCGCCACCACCACCACTACCACCATCGCCGCCGCCGCCGCCACCACCACCATAACACCTCAACCACCGTCGCCGCCGCCACCACCACCATACCACCGCCACCGCCACCACCACCACCATCACACCACCGCCACCACCACCACACCACCACCACTACCACCATCATCGCCGCCACTACCACCACCATACCACCGCAACCACCGTCACCGCCACCACCACCGCCGCCGCCGCCACCACCACCATACCATCGCAACCACCGCCACCACCATCACACCACCGCCGCCGCCGCCGCCACCACCACCATACCACCGCAACCACACCACCACCACTACCACCGCCACCACCACCATACCACTACAACTACCGTCGTCGCCGCCACCACCACCACCATACCACCGCCACCGCCACCACCACCATACCACCGCAACCGCCACCACACCACCACCACCGACGCCGCCACCACCACGACCATACCACCGCCGCCGCCGCCGCCACCACCACCACCATACTACCGCAACCACCATCGTCGCCGCCACCACCACCACCATACCACCGCCACCACACCATCACCACCACCACCACTGCTACCACCGTCATACCACCACCAGTTATTATTGTTATTATTATTATTATTATTATTATTATTATTATTATTATATAACAAATAACACCACTACCACTACACCATCACCACCACCACCACCACAATATTTTTGATATATTATTAGTTATTTTTTATTATATTTAAAATTATTATTATATTATTATACATGTTGTAATATTTTAAATAAAATAATTAAAATATTTAATTATACAATTCTATTCATTTTCCAGAAAATGAACCAAACACACAAAAACAGTTTTCCAGAATGCAACCAAACACTGGAAAGGAAAATGTTTTCTGAAAAATGACTTATTTTCCAGAAAACATTTTCCAGAAGTCATTTTCCTGCTTTCCAAACGGACCCCAAATTTTTTCCAACAAACCAAACGCGAAATAATGGAGGTAAGATGGGATTTAAAATGACAAAATCTCAAAGAAAAATGCTGCAAGACAATTCAATAAAACACGACTGGTAAGATACAATTTGAATAAGAAAACAAAAATTTCAAGACTTCAAACTTCAACTCCTTTCTTACTTTCTTGGTGGTGACTACATTCGCAAATTATGCTGTGGAAACGTGTTTACCTTGCGCATGGTGAACACAGGGATAGATCCATAATTTCTATGTTTAGATTCATAATTTTTGTTTTTCATTTGTTGTTAACGACGTTTCTCTCTTCGCAATCGCATTATTTCGTCTTCGCAGTACAGATATTATGAATCTACAGTACATAAATTATGAATCTACAGTATAGAAATTATGAATCTACAGTACAAATGTTATGAATCTACAGTATAAAAATTATGAATCTACAGTTTAGAAATTATGGATCTATCCCGTGTTCACCATGCGCATGGTGAACACTATTCCACAGCATAACTATTGGACTACATTGTATTGGGCCTTACTGATGCTTTTAAAGTACTTTATACTTATTATTAGCCTCTTCTTGAAGCCCAATGCATTAAAATCTAATTGGTACACCATGGTTCAAAACTATTAGCTAATAATAGGTGTGTCAATGTGGGTCGGCCCGCCTCATTAGACCCATTCCATTGTAGACTTTTTGCGGGTCAGATCGCGAAGTTTGTGGACTACGATTATGCAACCCTAACCCGCCTCATTTTTGGGCCTAACTTCAACAAAAATTATTATTTTATTATTTTATATTCAAATAATTTGACCTAAATAATATTAAATTTTTTCATGTTTAAAAATTAAATAAATTTACCAAGCACTTTGTGCTCAGATTACATGTAGTGACCTCTTCCATGTGGAAGGTCATGTGGCATTCAAAATTTTAGTGTAGCATCTTAATTAGGTATAACTTGTTTTAACATGCTATAGGGGTAAAAATGTTTTAATTGTATTATTTTTTAAAGCTCAATAACATATTTGAGCTTTTTAGAGTTTAGCTTAATTTTATTTTTTATACAATATGAATGGCTTATTTGTGTCTTATGCCATTATATTTTTCTAATGTAACTTTGCTACGAATAATGCTAGGATAGTGTTTCAAAAAAAAAAAAAAAAAAAAGGCTAGGATACTTTAATTTTATAATCAGGATAAAGTGAATTTCATTAACTTAAATCAGATAATAAGGCATTACAAATGATAAAAGGATGGTTAAAAAACCACTCCGAAAAATCAGCCGAAGAAAAAAAAAAAATTATAATGAGGTTGTGATTTTTTATTATTTTTATTTTTAATGTTTTTGCTCACTAATGGGCCCAGCAGGCCTGTGACGGCAGCAGGCCCTTGATGTGGATTTTTTTTTTTTTTTTTTTTTTTTTTTTGTGGCTTTCTTTTTTCATGTTGGCCTGCACTCTGCAGGCATTCAAAGGATAAAAGCTTGCAAAGCCTTACAAAAAGCTGCGACATGGGAGTCTTTTGTCTTTTTTTACTTTTTAATTTTTAATTATTAATTTATTATTATTATTATTGGATGTGAGTTTCTTGAAGAAAATGTAAACCAAATAGTGAATAAATTGTAAATGTGATGATATTATTTATATTTTTATATTTTTAAAAAATATTTACATCACGAATAATTTTATTTATTTTTTAATGTAATATAATTGAAATTTCTTTAATTTTAATGATTTCAGTGTCTTAAAATTTGCAATTTGTTTAAGAGTAGAGATAGAACCCTTTTTTTCATTTTTTCTTTTTTTACTTTTTATCATTTTATAATAATTTTAAATATTAATAATAGTATTATTATATTATATTTTTGGGATGAGTTTGAAATTTCATGGATGTAAAAAAAATGTTGAATTGCGATTATAATTAGATGGTAGTAAGACCAATTTATTTTTAAAAGAGAGTGTTGTGGGGATAAATTTCCTCCTAAAAAGTTGAATCTCCAACTCCAGACTCCCCATACTCCGGCTCGACAGAGTATGTGAGATGAAGTAAATTACAGTAACTTATTGACTCAGTAGACATGAGTATGTGGGATGAAGTAAATTACGGTACATAACCAAATGTTGTCAGTAGACATGAGTTGTTTGGTAATTTAATGTTAGTTGATTGGCTTAGATGGTATGACTAGTTGATAACATTAGTTGATTGTAGAAAGATGTTTGGTAAATTAGTTGTTAGTTGATAGCTGCGCTGTTTGATATAATTTTTTTTTCTCAAAAAGCTAATTGAAAAATTTACTTTGAGCAGCTTTTTGAATTTTTGCATTTTGGAGTTACAAAAAGCTAATTAACCAAACACTTATATTAATTTTTTAACCAAGTCAAACAGCTAATAGTGGTTAAATAAGCCAAAATTGGTTGATAAGCTAACTATTTTACCAAACAGGGCCAATTAACTTTTTAAATAGATTATAATCTTTTTTGTGTTTGAGTTTTAGACAAATCCTATCTCAAGAATTAGGATTCATTTGGTTCATGAAAAATATTTGAGGGAAAATGGAATTAAAATTTCATGGAAAAGCAATTACTAGAAAAATTGATTCAATTGTTTAGTTGGTGGAAAAAAATTACTGAAAATATTGATTTCATTGTTTCGTTAGATTTGGAATTGTAAGGTACCTCTACACAATAACAATGATAATAAAAATAAGAATAAATCACAAAAATAAAATAATTATGTTAGCTCACTTTTTATTTCCATATCATCCCTTACAAATTTCCTTATAACTAAGGAAAACTTTTTCTCCATGAATCAAAAGGAAAAAAACATCTCATTTTCATCAAATTTAATTAAAAAAATTTCTTATAAAAAGTTTTTCATGCAAGCAAACACTTCATAATTGGTATGCTTGATATGACTATGTCTCCTATAGGCATGATGTATGAGAGTGTGATCCATAGACTAAGTGAAGGGAGGAACATGCATCAATAATTTAGAATTGACAATGAGGCAGACAAGTTATCAATATTGTTAAATAATTGATAATTATTTATTTTTATTATCATATATTCTTGTCCAGCATACAATAAATGTCATACTATTTGAGGGGTGTATTCATTAATAACTTTTGTTGATTTTTAAAATGATGAATTTTAATTTAATAAATATTTGGTGACTGTACTATTGAATTTATCTAAATTTTTATAAATTTTGTAAGAGTTTATAAATGCTTATACCGGCGTCGTGGATGGCCTTAGCTAGGATATCTTGTTGCAAAAAAAAAAAAAAAAAAAAATACTAATGTAACGAAGAATACTACTCGCTAATAATGGCTATAACTTAATTGGGTACAATGATTTGCAACTTGCTTCCTTTCATGGCGACTTTTTCACATCTTTCTTAAAGAAGTGAATCCTTAAGGGCATCAATTATGTCATCCACAATCTTAATAGCATATTCCCAAACACTAAACGCAGGTATTAAAATTTATGCTACATCTTTAATTCTTATAACAAAATTTATTTTAATTATCTCATTGGTTTATACTAAGATATGTTAATTTCAAATAGTTTATATATAAGATGTCTTGAAATCAATTTCCTTTATACGCTAAAAAAAAATGAAAAATTGTGTGCGCGTATTTGTATATATAAGAGTGGAGTATTATCCTTAATAAACAACCACCACCACCAAACTAAGAGAAAGACTACGATGTCAAATGTCAATCAATATCATACATCTTGTACTTGGTGCAAAGCTTTAAAGTTTTAAAAAGACATTAAATTTGTATAAGATATTATAGGGACAATGTCACAATAGTACCTGGTACAAGTTCAGTATATTTGCTATTCATTTTAGGGTGGTAAGGGCATCCCCAATTGTGATTTTTGAGGAAGCCAAGCTTATGTGGAGGAGAGAAGGCGATCAGAGAGAAGATTTGGGTGCACACGGCAAGCACTTGATTTTTGATAGTGAAGTGGGTCCCACCACAGCACAACAACAGCGCCATTTGTGCCTGTGAGGCGCAACACAGCACCCAACCGGGAGCGTGCAGTTAATGAGTAATTATGGATTTGAAAATGCACAGAAATACAATAAGAAAATTAAAAAAAAAAAAAAAATCATTGATTGGTACGTGGAATACAAGGTAAGTTTGTTATTCGTGGAAGCCAAGTGCGGAAAAGGAAATGCAAGAATAGATAATGTTGTTTAGGTAAAAGACAAAGTTGAGAAAACTAAGGTAGAAAGGAACATTTTGCTTCTAAGCCTAACATCCTTGTAAACAATTCTCAGGTAATGTATGACAAGTGTAGCAAGCAATATAGACCACTTCTTACATAAGTTATCTAAGAAATGGAAGCTATGGATGTCATTGTCTTGGTGACGTTTTTGGCAAGAAAGTGAAGTCTCAAAGACAAGTAAATATTACCAAGTTGACATAAATATTAGATGAGAAGAGGTAATTCTAACCAAGTTGGACAGGCTATTGACTTAGTAATTACAAGATTACAAGTTCAACTCCCAGTGAAAGCAACCTATTAGCCTTCTTGATTTGAGCTGATTAGTTATGAGCAACTTAAACTGGTTTACTTCAGTTTGATTCTTTTGCCGGCTAGGGTGGATTTACCCTCGTCACCCAAAATACTAGACGAGGAAAAAAACAAAAAAATGTAATTAAGATGGAGTTTGTCTACAAAAGATTTATAGCAAGCCATAGGGGCCAAAGAATGAGAAGAACAAATGCTACAATTTTGTACATAACATAACATCCTAGTACAACAAACCTTAATTAGTCCAACATACCTAATTAAATTAAGCTTGAGAATGATGATGTGAACATGTAAGGAATGTCTGCAAGAGGGCCCCTTTGAGATGCAAGATCATGAATGTCCTTCACAATATCAAACACGGCATTTGGTTGCGCGAGTTTGAGCGCATTCTCAGACATCGTTTTGAGGTCGTTGGTTTTGGTACTAAACCAGTCCGCTACGATTCTAGCTGTCTCCTTGGGGCTTCGGGTGAAAACACCCGCACCATTCTCAACTACATACGGTACATTCCCCTTTTCCTGTGGATGTGAAGGGAAATCAGCAATAGTATTGCTGGAAATGGTAAATGAAACATGGAAAGTTCACTAACTTGGCCGGGAATATAATCGTTGAGAATAATGGGAAGTCCTCGGATTAATGCTTCTGCAATTGTGCCCGGTCCAGCCTAAAAGGGCACATAAATTCGCCATTGTCAAGTACAAATCGATTGGTAAAGTAATCGGGGAGCCATAACGCATACCTTTGTGATAATGCAGTCACAAGCTGCCATCCATTTTTCCATTTGTTTCTCGAAGCCTTTAACCTATGTAAGAGTGGAAGAGATCGATGTGGCGATTAAGGATCTAATTTGAGTATTAATGAAACAGTTGAGGCAAAATGAGCAACCTTAATAGGAATGTCCCATTCGAGCTCTCGTAATGAGGCAGCAAGGGCTTCATTGCGCCCGCAAATGACAACCATTTGTCCAATCGGCCTCCCGTGTTCTTTATCAAACAGAGCTTCCTCGAGAGCTTCTGCAGTTTTCTTCACCGGGCCCATCCCTTCGCCTCCCCCCATCAGCAAAACCGCTGGCAATGTTGGATCTAGCTCTAGTTCTAATCTTAGCTCGTTCTATGAAGCATCACAATCGAAAAACCAATAAGAAACAAGGTCAAATAGAGAATAAACCCCGGGGGGTCAAGCAAGAAATTAAACAAAAATTGACATTCACCTTAGAGAGAACTGCACGACAGAAAGAGGGCCGAATAGGCAACCCAAAGACACGCGTTTGAGATTCTTCTAAGCCATCTAGCAAAGCCCTCTTCGCTACCTCCTCCGAGGGACAATACAGCCGGTTCACACCAGGGTGAAACCTAAACATAAATCCAGTTTTGCTTATTAGACTTATAACGCAACCGAACAAAAAAACATTAATGTAGAAAATAACAATTTACCATGTGCGATGACAAGAATTGAGATCTGTAATGACAGTGACAAATATTACTTTCTTCTTTAATCCTTGCCATTTCAGAACCAACAATGGAATGTGTTGCATAAGAGGATGAACACTAATGATAATGTCCGGCTTATACTCCATTAGCCCAGCCTCTACCTCCCTATAAGATTTCATCGAAATTCATCATATAAGGAAAACATTGAAAACATTTGACCCACACATGCTATAAATCTAAAACATAGTAACAAATCAACAAAGGATGTTGGATAGACTACGCATAAAAGCAAAAAGGCGAGATTGAACAAGAAGTTTATTTACTTTGCATAGTAGGCAGCAATGGCAGCAAGGTAAACAGAATGAATCCACCGGGGCGATGTACTGTGAAACGCAACCTTCCAAAGCTGCACGTGATTAATAAAGAACTTGTACTGCTGCTCCATGTTGTTCAATGGCCAGCCAGTGTATTCCTTCCAAACATCCTTCACAAAAACCTGCGAAAATAAAACATAAGACAATATCGAATTTTAAAACAACATATCATTACATATTGAAAAAACATTATGAAATGAAACAAAAACTCAAAACAGATGACATTATCATACTAACTAGCTGGAGAAAACCATAAACTTTAGCATTAAAGACTAATATAATCAATCTAGATTCCTGAGCCAAGATTTGTCTGAACATCACCATATATCAATTCTATTCTAAGTTGTGTTAACTAACCGGTCCAGGGCTATAAATTCCTACTTGCAAAAGTTTAATCTTTGAATAAAAAGATTACAGATTTATAGGAATATATAAAGGTAATGCTTCAGAAATGCAATGCGAGGCAGACTAGAAAGTAGAAAACAAATAAAATATAAAGTAGCAAACATAGAAGAAATTTCAACCTTACCCTGTATTCATCACCAAATTCCAGCTTAAAGGCATCACGAATCGCCTCCGCCGAAGCACGGTGGCCGCCGCCGGTGTCACTCATGAGAATCAACACATTCTTGGTCCTCTCAGCTCCAATCTGCACCATTTCCATGGTATCATCTTCTTCCTGAACGTCATACTTGCGCCTCTTCTGGCTGTCGCTGCCAAAGCCATAAACCCCAACTCTCTCCAACACCGTGTGTATCGATTTTCGAGGCGAATTCACTCTAACCACCATTTCCCAACACACAGAAATAACTTAATGTGTATATATACAAAGTTACGAACTTTTTTAAAAAAATATGTATATTCCAATGTACACCCCAGCATGAAACACAACACTAGATCTCAAGAACCATGTAGAAACAAACACCCTTTAGCTGCCGGAAAGTGGGTTTTCCGGCGTTTGTCAGTAAGGTTGAAGAATGTTTGGTAAACCCTCTGAGGAAGAAGACAATCTGAGCCAGAGAAGGGTCTGAGTTCGAGGAAAGATTTGGAGGTTTTTCCTGTTATAAGAGACGGGAGGGGCAGATTATACTGGGAATTATACCATCATTAAGAGCTTTAATTTGGTGACTAAGTAGACAGGAAGTTGTGGCCGTTGGATTAGCATTTTTGTGCCGGAAACACGGAATGTTCGAATGGGTAGATTCGAATCTTCTTACAGGGCAATTAATGTAGGAGCCCACATTAATAATAGTTGATGTGGAATTGTTTTACTAATTTATTTGATTGATGGTGCCCTTAATGGAATTACAACACCCAATAAACTTAACAAATAAACAAGTTATAAATAACTAAAGAATTCGCTTCCCATCTTATTACTAATATACTCACACAAAAACTTTATTCTTACCTTATTATTTTCCCACCCAATTACAATGTCTTTCCTTCCCAATTCTTTTCTCCCAACTAAACACCCTTAAAAAGCTTGCTACCTTTTGTAATTAGACAAAATGCAAATCTTTTTCATTCACTTTTGATTAATATATTTCTTTATTTAAAAATTTTAAAAGAAAATGGAAGAAATTTAATTTAATTATTTCCCCCCCACCCACATATATATGCACAAAATAAAGGGCAGCATGCACCAATATATATATATATATACACACACACACACACTAATATATAGAGGATTGTGCGGATAAATATTGAGCACACAACAAATTAGTTTCAGGCACACAAATTAATAAACAATGGCACACGACATTTCTGTCCACATCATGTTTCGAATCCATACTATATTAATTAATAAACTTATGCACACGACATATAAACTATGTCACACGACTACATTAGGCCATGCACACGACATACACACTAATGGCACACGACATATTTGTCCTTACAATCCTCTATATATAATAGGGTTGTCCTCATTTGAACTCAACTCTCTCTCTCTCTCTCTCTCTCTCTCTCTCTCTATATATATATATATATATATATATATATATATATATATATATATATGTGTGTGTGTGTGTGTGTGTGTGTGTGTGTGTGTGTGTGTGTGGGTTCTCAAGATTAACGTCCAGAATTAACAAGAATTAAAAAAAAATATGGTGAAAATTTGGTTTTTTTTTGCATTTAGATCAAATTTAAGGTGCGTGGTTTTTGTGTTGTGTGCTTAAAGTGCGTCAGTTGTTTAAAACTTAAGTGCGTCAGTGTAAAGCTTTAGGTGCATGGTTTTCCTTCTTAAAGTGTGTGAGTTTCCATCTTAAGGTGTGTGGTTTGTGTGTTTAAGGTGCGTCAGTTGTTGAAACTTAAGGTGCGTCAGTTGTTGAAACTTAAGGTGCGTAGTTTTTCTTCTTAAGGTGCGGCGGTCTAAAATTTTATGTGTGTGGTTTTCCTTCTTTAAGGTGCGTTATTTATCTTCTTAAGGTGCGCCAATTTTACAGTTTTTTTTTCATTCAACAGTACATTGATTTTTTTCAGTTTTGGTTCCCAAGTTCAAAATGATCTAATTCAAAAGAAAGAAAGAAAAAATGATAGCAATATAATAACAAATAGTAGAGTTGTTATCTTTTAGAGTAAACATAAGAAGATGGGTGCATTTGAGGACGCATGTTTAAAAAAAAAAAAAAAAAATCAATAATTTGAGCCTTTGATCTAAATTTGATCAGATCAACAGTTCATATCTAAACCCATTTTAATTTTCACCTAAGAGCATCTCCGCGCCAGAATCCGGATCCCATGAGGTCACTTAGATGGATGAGATGATGAGGCCTCATCTCATCCATTAAATCATTGCATATCAAAGGGTGAGATTGAAAGAGTTTTATTATCCATTTAAGGTAGTAGACTATGCATAAGGGTGAATATGTAATTGTAATATTGGAGCTATATATGGTTCAGAATAAATTGAAATATATTCCATGCAAAGGATCAACTAATTATGTGATTGAATAATATATTAATGGCAACAAATTAGAATTGATAGTGTGTGAGATGTATTTAAGCATGTGTAAACGGAAACAAAGTTGACGCGTTGGTTTCTCTCCTCAACAATGATGCCATATGCGGAAGGAGGTATGTGCAAGTGTTTTTTGGTTTTCTGTATGTCTGTGCATCTATTTTGTTAAGTCTGTGCGCTAAGTGTCCGAAGTGTGTGCAAAGGATTCCACGTGTGTGAAATGAGGGCATGCGGAAGGAGTTTAATACAAATCACATTACACTGTGCGTTTAGAATGAAATGTCTTGAGTTTTTAAAAGTTGAATGGGCAATCAGACATTGTGTTTTGATATGATATGTGGTTAGCTAAAAAAGACATTGGGTTAACAAACATGGTAGACGTTTGTATTATAATATGCTAGTTTGGTCGACACCCGTGCAAGTGTGAGGGATAGTCTTTGCGAGTTAATTCCTGAACCTGGGCATTTAAGACACATGGTAATAGCGTTATATTCTCAGCCTATGTATGCTATTGTGTTCCCATGTGCAAGTTAGGACTTTATATGCATGTTATGTTGTTCCCATGCATGCAAAACATTTCAGCTTGTGCATGTTATATTCGTAGCATGTGCATGATACGCTTAGCAACTGTGTTTGTGAGTATGTGCATATGACGTCTAAGCATTTAGTACCGACTGACTAAATAATTGGTACAGATTATTTATGCAATCTAAAGTTGATAAAATTAAAGCAACAACATGCATGCTGGGTTTTTTCCGTGCGGCGTGTGTGTGCATTTGGCGTGCAGATCTAACAATGCTTGATTTATTTTGAAAGTAATATGTGCATGAGTTTGAGTGACCATGTGCATGTGCAACAAGGACTAAAAATGCGATATAAAACATGTAACGAAAAAACTATTTGAATTCATATAATAAAGGTAATGGAACATTAGTTTTGATAAGGAAATGACGTAGTTGAAATATTTAATCATCCCATAAATACAATAATTAGTAGTGTACAAGCCCATAAAATATGCTAATCAATTATTACAACCTAATAAAGACACCACCAAAAAGACATCAACACCCCCACATGCACACTAAACACACGCACGTGGCACCTTATTCAGCCTAATCTCATCCATCCAAAAAAATAAATAGACGTACCAGATCAAGCCTCACCATCTTGCCTGACAAAGACAACCTCACCAGATCCAATATATATATATATATATATATATATATATATATATATATATATATATATATATATATATATATATATTCTGCTGCATGATGTCCTTTATTTTGTGCATATTTATTATTTAACTTTCATCCTCCAATGAGTTTGGAGTATTTTAAGTCAAATGATATGTGAACCAAAGCTTTATTAAATATTTTATTAAATGACGTGATATATGATCACTACAAATTATTTAAATAAATTATATATGTACGTTACATGAAGTTGAAAGTACGATAGGATAATAAGTTAATTTTTTTTCTATATACGGAATAAACATATGTTTAAATCTCACAATCCTACCCCCATTAAATTGTAGATAAAAACATATAATATCACGTTAGAAAATAAATAATTTAGTATTTTTATTTATATAAGAGTAAATACTTAAAATGGTCCCTCAACTATAGCTAAATTCACAAATTGGTCCTCGACTTTTAATTTCAATCAATTAAGTCCTTAACTTTGCAATTTTAACACAATTTGGTCCTTTGTCTATTTGACCGTTTGTTGACTGCACTTTTTAGGATATATATGTAATTTCATGGTCCATCGTTGGTTTTTTAAGATTCCGGTTGCATTTCTAGATCGCACGGTTACATTTGAATCTATTGTCGGCGCTGCACCCCATGCCGGAGAGATTATAGCTTTTGATAGATAGATCGCCGAAGTCCCTGGAGTGGCTCTTCGAGAAAGCCGTGACTCCAAGCGATGTAGGCAAGCTGAACCGGCTCGGGATCCCCAAGCAGCAAACGGAGAAGCACTTCCCCCCTCCGAAACGACGCTGTCACCTCCAAGAGCGTTCTCTAAGCTGAACCGGCTCGTGATCCCCAAGCAGCAAGCAGCTCCGCAACAACGATGTCACCTCCAAGAGCGTTCTCTTGAGCTTTGCACGTGAAACTACATATATATCCTCAAAGATCGCGGTCAACAAACGGTCAAATAGATGGAGGACCAAATCGTGTCAAAATTACAAAGTTAAGGACTTAATTGGTTGAAATTGAAAGTCGATGACCAATTTGTGAATTTAGCTATAGTCGAGGGACCATTTTGGATATTTATCCTTTATATAATAATGTTATCTTTGAAAATTTTCACTTTTAATCTCATAACTATTATGTAATATAATTATCACCGAACTTTTAATTTTTAATTCCACCGGTTACAAACATTGTCATGTTTTGGCTTCAATTCATTTTTCCAATTGACTTTAACTTCTAGAACAATTTGATAATTCAATAATTTTAATATTACATTTTTACTTAAAATGGCTCAGAAATAACATAATAAACAATATAATAGAAAAAAGTTATTTAAAAAACTCTCAAATTAGTATTTATTATATATACTTTTAAAATAAGAAAAAAGACTAAGGTGTGTGTGTGAGACAATATAATGTTTCTGAAATCATGAGACTAAATGTCATCAAATTAAAAGTTTTAAAAAAAAAAATAAATACTACAATAATTAAGGATTGAATGCCACAATCGGTTGTTATACAGTGGACCATGATACATAGTTCTATGTGGACCATGGTTGTCAAATGAAACTGTAGTAGAATTAAAATGATACTTTAGTGTTGTTAATATAAAAGTAGTGTGTGTGAAAAATGAAATTAAAAAATAGAGCTCATTCAACAATGTATTGTCAAATGAAACTGTAGTATAATTAAAATGATACTTTAATGTTGTTGTTGGAAAAAATAGCATTAAAATGACATAAAATGACATGTTAAGTGGCTATTTTGTGGTACAATTATCAGTGGGGTCCACTTCTGATTTGAGTCGGGTCAAAGTGGATTCGGGTTCTTCGTAGTGAGACGAAGAGATTGATATATTGTACGCTCAAAACGGATAATGGGTGAATGAGATATTGATTCTCAAAGTAGACCCATTGAGTTGGAAAAATGAAGGGAAAAGTGAGTTT